TCAGCAGGACATGCATGGCACAGTCTCCCTTACTCTATATCACCACACTGACCTGGACAGGCTGGAAAGTTGGCTGGAGAGGAGCCTACTGAAATTCAACAAGGGCAAATGTAGTGTCCTCCACCTAGTGAGGAATTACCCCCTGCACCAGGAGAGGTGCAGGGGTGACCTGCTGGAAAGCAGCTCTGCAGAGAAGGACCCAGGAGTGCTGCAGGACAGCAAGTTCACCATGAGCTAATGATGTGCCCTTGTGGCCAAGGAGGCCAGTGGGCTCCTGGGGTGCATTCACAAGAGTGTGGCCAGCAGGTCAAGGGAGTTTCTCCTCCTGCTCTACTCTGTGGGACAGTAGTGCCCCTAGTGAGGCTACACTGATATTGTATCCTGTACTGGGTCCAGTTCTGGGCTCCCCTGTTCCAGAGAGACAAGGAATTCCTGGAGAGAGTCCAGCAGAGGCTACAAAGATGCCGAGGGGCCTGGAGCATCTCTGTGCCAGGAAAGGCTGAGAGCCCTGGGGATGTTTATATTGGAGAATAGAAGCCTCAGAGGGGATCTGATTAAAGCTCATCAATATCTAAAGGGCAGGGGGCCAGAGGATGGGACCAGACTCTTGTCAGTGGTACCCAGTGACAGGACATGGGGCAAGAGGGACAAACTGGAACCCAGGAGGTTCCATCTGAGCAGGAGGAAAGAATTATTTGCTCTGAGGGTGGCCAAGCCTGGAGCAGGCTGCCCAGAGAGATTGTGGAATCTCCTTCTCTGGAGAGATCCCAAACCTGCCTGGATGTGATCCTGGGCACCCTGCTGTGGGTGACCTGGTGCAGCAGGGGTGTTGGATGAGGTGATCCTCCCCAGAGGTCCCTTCAAGCTCCCACCACGCTGTGATAACATGATCTCCAATTAAAAAAAAACAAGTAAAGGGAACAGCATAATATACTCACATTGTACAATATCTAAAACTACATGACCTTTGAAACAGTAGCTTCTTCTCTTTGATGAGCTTACATTTTTAATTACTTAAATATTAAATTAAATTTTATTTAAATTCACCAATATAACACTTTAAAAGCAAATGCATTACAGATTTTGCTATTTGTTTCAACAGTATTGAAAAATGTAGTTTGCCTAGTCTTACCTTAATTTCACTAGATGATAATTTAATTTTAATTTGTGCCATCTTACCTCAATCAATTTGTTGGCATGTTCACGGAAAACCTGGGCATATTCTTTAACTTCTTTTTCATTCCCATTCTTGGCAGCTTCAATCAATACTAAAAGTGGAACATTTGTTTCCAGAAAAGAGTCTGATACGTGGTCCATAACAGCTTTGCGGAGCTAAAATAAAAAGAAGAGAATGAGGTATTTTTCAGTCATGTTCCACTGCTCCTTCCCTTTTACTGTATTAATACATAAAGCTTAAGTACTTTTGTCCTTGATCCTTTTTCCTTTGTGTGGTCAAGGCTTCCCCTGCACTAAGTCTTGTCTATATCTTGTCAATTTAAATTAAATCTCCTTAAAAAACTGGATTAGTTATATAAGTGCAAGTCACCCATTTGGCCACAAATATTGATTTAGCAGTTCATATTGGTTTTGTCTGAGTAAATTTGCTGCTTTTCCTTAGTTCAATAAACAACAGGCTGATTTAACTTTTTTTATTTTTCTTCTAGAATAAAAACACTTCTTCAACCAACTTGATCCGTATTCACGTTTACTTGAAAAAAAAGGAAGACAGTGCTTTAAAAACCCAACGGACAAAAGATTCATGTTACATAAAGCCCGCCCTCAAAGAAAACAGGTGCCGGAAGCTTCTGCTTTTAAACTCAAGCTACAAGCAGGGAAGCCCACTGTCCACTGGAAGCAAACCACCAGTGATGCAGAAGTGCACTCATCTGTCCCAACGAGGGTCAGCTTTCTGTATCAATCACCTGTCTGCGCAAATCTCGGGTCTTTTTGGTCATTTTATCAATCGCAGAGTTCAGCGCATCGCTTCTTTCCTTGCGTCCAGCCTGCAAAACAAGAGACAAAGAGGTAAACAGCTATTCAAGGTCTCAAAGTAAGCCCAGCATTATTCAAGTACATTGCCAGCTGCTTTTTCTTTTTCATTCCGTTTTTATTTTAAGTGATTGTGCACACTAGAAGTAAGTCTACAGCTCCCTGACAAAGCACTCTCCTCCTGGCTGGTTTGGGCAGTACAGTAACATCTGACATCTTAAGATCTTACCTTTAATGCTCTTCAGCTTGCATACAGAAGCACAGGATGGGTTCATAAACCTCAAACTCTTTTTGTTCCTCATCAGCTGGAGACCATATTCTACCTCCAAGTTTTCGATTTCTCTTTTCTGCCACCTCTGTCAACCACCCCACAGCTGGCAGGGTATCGAGTCCAGAATGGCCCAGCACCAACCTTCTGTCTTCTACAGCCTTGGTTGTTGAGATTGCCCAAGGCCAGTGGATTGCAAACATTTCACACACTGCCTTCAACTGGCAGGTGCAAGCACCACGTAAGCAATCCACAAGGCGGTGCATTCGACACAGTACTTCCCTCATACCAAATTTTCACGCCCAGGAACACCTTCATGCTCAACTATCACACCCAGGAACACCTTCATACCCACTATCACACCCAGGAACACCTTCATACCCAATTATCACACCCAGGAACACCTTTATGTCCCACTATCACAGAAGGACTGCTCTGGAGCAGCCAGTCAAAAGCCCAAAAAAAAAATCAATTACCTTAACAATAAAACCCTTATAAAACATTTGTCAAGGATGAAATCCAACATTTCAAACAAACATCCAGGCCCACCTGCCGAGATCTGGATTTCACCAAGGTTCTACATGGCAAGTTTTGTTTTAGCCCTGCTGTTAAAGAGGGGGCAAGGGGCCAAGAAGCAGTGGCAGCTTCTTTCTTCCAGAAGCAGTGGCAACTTCTCTCTTTCTAAGCAGACACTGAGTCAAAAATATCCTAATCTGTATTGAATTGGGTAGATAAAACAATGGTGGTGGGGCTGGTTTTGCTGGGAGTTTTTTCTGTATAATACAGTATACATTACGAGTTTTGAAACACACTATACAAACACAATCCAATTTCTGAAGTTCCAAGCCATGATCAATGTAATTACCCTGTTGAGAAGAAAAACCATTTAGCAGCACCCCAGTGAGGGTATGCCAGCTATCAATTCTGCAGGTGACAGGCTGGTTTGCAACACTGGGGCAAGCAGCCTGGAATCTAAAATATGAAGTCCACTCTACAGCAGAAATAAAAATTAAACAAAATCAGGCAGGAAAAATTAGGATGCTGTAATGACATTATAGTTTAATGACTTATTGACCATTTGTCATCTCTCTGATGAAGGACTTTGATTCTTATCACGAAAGGTAACTGAAAAGCCACTGAAATTCAAACCAGGGGCTCGTTCTGTCTACGCCACAGCCTTCGGCAGACCTGCCCCGTTCTTCACTCCACATCCAAAAATCAAAGCTGAAGTCTCTAGATAAAGTGAAGATTAATGCTACTGCTGCTCCCATGCTTGGTGGCCATGAAACCCAGAGCACAGCAGGCCAGCAGGTCCCCAATCCAGCGTGCACAGGACACCATGGCTTTGTCCAGGCACTGGTGGCCGCGGGTGCTGCTTGCACCCTGAGGTGGGCAGGGGGAAATTCACCCAAAAATCCCAAACTGCCAACCAGCACAGCATGAACTGAACACCTGCTCCGAGATATAAACCTACAGCTGCATCTTCTGGTGCCCTCACACCAGTTTACTATTGCAACATGGTCGTTCTGACGAACCTGTGGCACCCCCCTGTCCACGTGGGTTTTTTTCCCAGGGATATCTTTGGACCTAAGATTTATACTCAGCTATTCTGTAGAAAGCCCAATATTCAGCTATTCCAAGAAGTGTTGTTTTACTTCTCCCTGGGTGCCCCTACATTACCACTTTAATGCAAGGCAGGAGCATGCTTTTGAAGTGAGTCCACCCATCGCTTCCACTTTGCTGTCCCTGGCTTCACAGCCCAGAGCAGCCTCGGTGTGTGAGAGCCAGATGCCTTTCAGATAAGAGGAAAACCAAGAGATGGCTTCCACTAATGGGCACTCAGACCAGAGCACAGCCAGTGCTGTGTGAACACCCTGAAAAGCAGGCTCTGCACACACCGGAGCCTGGGCAGCACCCTTCCATGCTGTTGATCCCCTCCTATTAAGCTCCATCACGTATCAGCACAAGAGCAGCTGTGGAATCTAAACCTGGTAGCTTCTAGCAAGGCAGCTCCACTTTATTTCCACCTCGTTGGTATTCAGAAATTTTAGCATGTGAGCTCATCTAAAGTATTAAGAGAACTTCCTTCAGAAGGCTGCAGAACAGGGCAAACGCGAAGGGCGCCCACGTCACTGTGGCTGCAGAGACCCTCTGGTCATTAACACCTTCAATCCTCACAGCCAGTTATAACCAAGGTCCTGGCCCAGAGACAAGCATGTCAAGTTTTGCCCATCTGAAGTTCTTTGGCCTTTTTTTTTTGTATAAAAAGGAACATAGAACACATAACTGTGGGAACAACTGCACCCTGTTAGGTCCAAGTGGAGGCAGCTACCAGGACAGTGGTCACTGGGCACATCAAGAGCTGTAGAGCCCATGGTTGCACCAACCCTCCAGCATACATAAAAACACTGAAAATCATCCTCTGCCACAACAGTCACTTTGTCCAGGCTCCCACACACTCCATGAATTTTACCCACTGATTCCACTCTACAGTTCAACAAATCAGCCTGGAGAAGAGAAGGCTCTGAGGAGACCTTACTGTGGCCTGCCAGTATCTGAAGAAGGCCTACAAGAAAGCTGGGAAGGGACTTTTTACATAGGCATGTAGTGACAGGACGAAGGGTCATGGCCTCAAATGAGAAGAGTGTAGACAGATTAGAAATTAGGAAGCAGTTCTTCACTATGCAGGTGGTGAGACTGGAACAGGTTGCCCAGGGAGGTTGGAGATGCTCCAACACTGAGTGTGCTCAAGACGGTTTGACAGGGCTTTGAGCAACCTGGTCTAGTGAGAGGTGTCCCTGCCCATGGCAGGGGGGTTGGAACTAGATGATCTTCAAGGCCTCTTCCAACTCAAACCGTTCTACGATTCTAAGTCCTGTTTGAGCTAGTCTCTCTCTCAAGTAATACATCATGTTTTAAAAGGTTCCAAGTGACAGTTTACCACCTCTGGTTAATTTGTTCCATAAGCAATTACCATTAAGAAACTGGTCCTTGTTTCTAGTCTACACTTTCACTGAGAAGCCAGCTAATGACCCAGCACCACAACACCTCCCAACTATCAGCTTCTCTTATCCATGGGGTTAGGAGGCCTCACAACAGCAAAGCCTGAATATTCAGATTACTAATAGGATTTTTAGATATTCAGCACAAAACTCAGCTGAGGGAATCAAAAGCTCCACAGTCAGTAAGCAGCTAATAGATTCAGGAGATTTAACAGGCTCTTGTTGCTACTGTCACTCATTTTGCAGGATGATATCACAGCTCTGTCCAGTGTCACGGATAAGAAATCCAGCCACAGTGCAAATTTACTTTAAATTAAATCAGATCTTTATCAGAGAGACTAGAACTGGTGTTAAAAATTGCTCATTTCCACCATCCCTTGTAATCTCTGCTCTTCCACCATCACTGCTACCCTGCCTGGAAAGCACCACGAGCAGTCACTGCTGCATCCTTGCCATACCAGCTCCCCCAACTACCTCAACTGGAGTATGTTTTCATGGCTTAAAGAAAGGGGATGCATACACAGGGAGGCAAGTGGAATCACCATCTCCCTCACAAGGTGCTCTCTTTGTAGCCCTGCCATCTGAATCACAACAAAGAACTGAACCAAGTTTTTCCTACAGCTACTGATGTGAAAATCTAACCTCAACTGATTTATAAAGGTAACGGAGCATGGCAGTTGGTGGTGCACAAATGTTGTGTTAGAGTCACCAGGATTACAAGGAGTAATCACGTTTTTATAGCCACATATCAAAACTTTCATTGTTAATCTCAATGGGTCACCATCAGTAGCACAGAGCTACTGAGAAAAACTGTGACATCTAGCTTAATTACACCCCTACAAAGGATACTGTCCTCACCCCTCCATTACCAGGATCCAAGGGCTCCAAACACACTCCAGATATAAGAGAGCTCATTCCCAGCCCTCCCGCTGCCCTCACCCAGGGGACCTCTGCAGAGAGCCTGAAGAGCTGGACATGTATGTCAATGATCCATCACCCTCAACGTGCCTTTTTCTTGCACGCCCAGTTCTTGGGGCTTGCTGCTAAAACAGCTCCGTGGGAGCACAGCCGAGTGGCAGCACGTGCAGGGGAATCACAGAAACACGGCATTCCCTTGGTTGGAAGAGACCTTTCAGATCATCAAGCCAAACTGTTCCCCAGCACTGCGAGGTTCCCACTGACCCGTGTCCCTCAGCACCACATCTCCATGGCTTGGAAACCCCTCCACGGATGGGGACTCCACCACTGCCCTGGGCAGCCTGGGACAGCCCTGGACAACCCTCAAGGGGCAGAAACTGTTCCTCAGCTCCAACCTAAACCTCCTCAGGGGCAACTTGAAGCTATTGGTGTCTTGTCCTGTCCCTTGCTCTTTGGGAGAAGAGCCCAATCTGGCTCCAACCTCCTTTCAGGGAGCTGTCAAGAGCGACAGCCACTCACCTCGTCCTCGCAGCCTTACTGACACAGCACAAAGGGTGTCTTTTGGGAAAAAGCAGCAATTACCCCCGTGATCCCTGATGTGCCAACACCCATGAAGAACTGCCCCGCTCTCTGGTCTCCGGGCAGGGCAGAGGGAGGAGGTGTCTGTCTGCACGGTGCCACATGCGGCTGCTCCAGGCTTGCCGTCCTCCGAGCCCACAGCACCACAAAGTCACGCAGCCCACATCCACATCAAGTAAAATTACCTTGTTTCTTGTTCTTGATCCACTCGGAAGGCTTCCACAAGATGTCAGCCTAACTAAAT